CAGTTTTTACCAAAAATGACAAAAATATTCACCAAAATTAAAGAATTAAAGATATCATTACAAAATTAACAAATCTGAGAGAGGTCCACATGTAGTACCTATAGATGTAATATCAAAGCAATTGCACTTGCGGTTTTTAACAAGAAGTCGAAAATATCAGTTTTTACCAAAAATGACAAAAATATTCACCAAAATTAGAGAATTAAAGATATCAACATGAAATGAAAAAACCTAAGAGAGGTCTACCCAAGGTACATATACACCAAGTATCAAAGCATTTAGGCTTGTTGTTTTCAAGAAGAAGTCGAAAAAGTAAAACATTGACACGGACGACGACGACGACGGACGATGACGACGGACGACGACGACGGACGACGACGACGACGGACGACGACGGACAATCACTCATATGATAAGCTCCGCTCGACAAAGTCGACAGCGGAGCTAAAAATAAATATTTGATTCAAAGTAGGGCATTTGACTGGCTATCAGTTCTTTTCTACATCAGTGCATTGGCCGCTTCATGTGACATAGACTAACCAATGAGAAGGCACCATTTTCCTTCACACCAGCACATTGTAATACCGGTATCATAAGATATAATTTTGTGGTATTGAATAAATTGAATGTTTTGTAACTTAAACAGACTTACCTTTAAGTCATCAAATTTCCCCATGACTGTATAAACTTTAAATGGTTTGCCTTTTGTTTGTGGTCCCCCTAGCTGTATATTGATCCCTTGCATTATGATACCATCCTGTAATGTCAGTCCTTTCATTTGCTGTACATGTGAATATACAATATGAATCAGTACAATATTTAAATGCAGGAAATTATGGCAAAACTTATAAGGGGAACTACTTGTACTTTAAAAATCTCTATAATATTTTTTACTATTTTCTATCAAATTATTACAAACTTATGATAACAATTTTAAAATTTTTGAAAAAACAATTTATAATTTGTTATCATATATTTCCATGTTAATCTAATCACAGTCAAATTATTTGGTTAATGAAATTGTCTTACTAATAACAGTCTTGCACATCCAATATATCTGTTGAGTCATTTTCTTAGGATACAATAAAGTTTATTCCGGTAGGATTTGGCAGGAAATTACAATAAAGCATTGCAGGCTGCTTTAATTTCACAAAAGATAAATTTCAGATTTAGTGAAAATCTTGAAATTTTATAGACATGAACATTCCACTGGGAATGACAAAGACAAAGTATCAAAGTGACTTTCACCAGCGTCCTAGGGAGTTACAGTGACATTCACTTGGGTCATATTAAATCATATTGACTTTCACTAGGGTTTTCGGCAGTTACTGAGAATTTCACCAGAGTTCCAGGAAGTCAGAGTAACTTTCACTAGAGTCTATGGAAGTCAAAATGACCTTTACATGGGTCTTGTGAAGTCAAAGTCAAAATGAGGGTCTTAGGAAGTCAGAGGGACTTTCACTGGGTCCTAGGAGGTCAGAGTAATATTCACTAGGGTACTACAGAGTCACAATAACTTTCACAAGAGACCTAGGGAGTCAAAATGATTTTCACTGAGGTCCTAGGAAGTCATAACAACTTTCAATGTTTCATAAAATGTTGTTCTTACAAACGCCTTTAAATCATTCAATTACGAACATTTTTCACAGTAATACTGTAACTGTATAAACATACTTACTTTAGATGCAACAAAATCAATACCCTTGAGAATAGAATCTTTGCCAATGATGAACGGACCCTAGAATTTAGAAAAGAATTATGACGGTTGCATCAAATGTAGTTTGTTGACAGTCACTCAAGCATTATTTGTAACTTTTTTTTTGCAAATTGTCAATATATAAAAATTATAATGTTATTACAAGAATACCAGAAAGTATGGATGAAGGCAGTACAGTGATTGTAACGACTGACTGTAACAGGAGTCAAAACATTCCTGTACGGACTGTGTGCATATTTTGCGGTTATCTTGGGATAACCTCATTATTATACATTTTTTTATATTTGTAGTAGTAATTTATTGAGAGATTATACCCTGAAATGAGAATAAAAAAATACATTTTTCGCACATTTGCGTAAGTGAAAGGATTTTATTTCCATCACATGCTACAATGTACCATGTAACTGAGCAATATAGAAAAACATTGCTTGATACTCACCTCAAGTTCAGAATGGGTTATTGCACATTTTTCTCCAACTTTAATACCATTAGTAAGTTTTGAATTTATAACAAAGCTTGATTCGGGCAGACTACACGAACTCTGTGAAGGAAATATGATACAGTAA